CAAAGGGGGGGGGGGGGGGTGAATTGGGTTTTTAAAATCTTTTCAATCACAGCCCCCCCCCCCCCCCCCCCACTGAAAGGGTGCCGTCATAAAGTCATGACCAGCAACGAATTAGTTGAAAAAGTGCCGAAGTTCGGCCGGCCTGCCTTCATCATCTGCTCTGTGGATACAACGGCGTTCACTGGTATTCTACCGCGTTTTTTCACCCCCGGGCAATCCCCCCGCAAGGCAGCACACATTCAGTGACGGGCCGGGATGTTGGGCGCTTGACTGCCGTGTGTGTGTCGTCCCCATCTATTCTGAATGTCGCTGGCCGGGTTGCTCGCGCTTGCTGCCGTACGTGTTTCATCCCCATTTACTCTTGATGTTCGTCTGTATGCCTTGCGGCATGTAGTTTCCGGGTGCATCGATGCGCCCGCCCGGGTCGCAACAGGAGGGAAGGGGAAGCGTCACTGGATGATTACCTATTTTTGATAACTCCGCATTCCTTGGCCGGTGCTGGGCGTAACTTTCCGTCGCGAGACGGCGGGATGATTCTTCGGCCGTTCCTTTCTCCGATTGACCGTGAAGCTTGAGTCGCTTTTTTTTTCTTTCTTTTTGCTGCGTGTACGCACGAAGCCTTCGAAACAATCCCACTTTGGTGTGACTGCGAGACGAGAGTCCAACCCACGGTTGTTTTGCCAACCACTGCTGCGGTATGACCAAGCTGTATGTACACTTCGAAGCTTCGAGGTATATGTTTTTCCGCTCCTGGTCATATTTGTTGTAGCACGTGTTGTCTGTGCTCTACTTTCGGGCAGCAACGCTTTTATACATACGTGTGCTGCGACGGCCACTCCTGGGTAAAAACGGTGGTTGCGACGAGGGTGCTTGCCCAGCGGTTCCTGTGATCCACTTGCTCCTCCGGTTAGCATCTTGCTTGGTTCGGCCACGTCAAAATTCTTCATTGGACCTGATAACGAGTGAACACCTAAATAGTGCGTGCGATCGGCCCAGCAGTGAGAATCTCAAGTCTTTGTGCCAGGCAGCAAAGGCCTCGCACTCACTCCCCTCAGATCGACCCCCCGAATCGACAACAACTCTCGAGAAGGAATCACGGCACCTACCTATGCATACCATGTTCGTCATGCTCAGCACGTGTGAAAAAAAGAAGCGTCGTGCCGAACTCGTCCGCGCGGATAAGTTTCCCCGCATTTGTTTCGTTTTTTTGTCCCTGTCTGTCTCCATGATGGTGCCCCCCCCCCCCCCTCATATCGCGCCCAACTCCCCGCATCATTACCGCTACTCTCTCGCCCTCCCATGTCATCCTTTTTCTTAGGGAAGCAAGTTATTCCTGCAAGCTCAGCGTACGACAACACACTTGTGAAACCTCTAGTTCCAACGAACGATACCAACCCCACAATGGAGTGACTGCCAGTTCTCAGCGTATGGCAACGAACATTTAGTAAAGCCCTAGAATTGACCGCGAGCTCAGCTGTCTTATGATAGTACACTCCGAAAACCAATTAAAAAAACTTTTTTCCACAAACGACGGACAGCTTGCTGTTACGACCGAACCCTCCACTGAGAAACTTTCTCGACACACGACGGACAAACCAAACCAAACAGGTTGCTGCATTTTTCACAAGAAGAGGAACTTCGACGAGAGCGACAGCGACGAGAGCGACTCGGACGCGGACGACGAGGAGCGTGAGCGGCGCTGGGCGCAGCCCAAGCCCGGGAGGCCAAAGGCGCACCAACTTTACCACGGATGAAAGACAAGAGTCCAGCAAGCAGTAGTTTGGTGGCTTTCAGGCGCCCCCACTTTATTACAGGAACCCAGCAGTATTGGTGACTAGTACAGATTCGGGCCAATGGCGCACCAACTTTACCACGCGTCCAGCAGTAGCATATCGGTGGCTACAGGTTGCACGCATTGCAGTGACATCAATTGCTTTTACCAAGGGTCGGTATGGTAGTAGTAGCGGGCCTAGGCTGGTAGGCGTAATTGGCCATAAAGGTTTGGGTCCATGTGTAGTAGTTCCGAGCCGGGCCGGGCGGCGGCGGCGGCGGCGGCGGCGGGGGGCTGCACGCTGAGAGAGCCACGGGTGGGCTCTTAGTCGAACGGCAGCAGTAGTTCCAGCGGTAGTCGTGTGGGCTCCGGAGACCAAAGGCGTTCAAGACGCTGGACTTTTTCCCTTGCAACGGCCGCGCTCATGATGCGTCATAGACTGGCGGCAGCTGATGAGATCCTCCATCACTCCATGCTCTGCTGCTTTTGAGTCTGCTGCTGCTGCAACTCGCCGCTACGTTTGGTTCATTGTAGGCTAAGACTGGTTTGTAGGTGTAGGCAGCCAACGGAGTAAAACAGGCCCCCTGTTTTTCTGCCGTAGATCCCATCTGTATGTGAGGATGCTGCAGAGGCTACATTGATGACCGCGCGCAATGACAGCGGAAGAAGCAGGAGAGCAAGCCCTTCTCTGTCTGTGAGGGCTGCTCCTACCGCGGAAGCAGATAACCCGCCGTCCGTTTTGCCTACGCGACGTGTGCGAGCGAGGAATCACCGGGAACATAAACCTCGCTAGACATGGCGTTGCTGCTGCTGCAGCTGGTACCGCGTTGGCTCGGCGGTTGTATGTGCCACACTCTAGTGCACGAATTGGAGACTTAAGGAGTTTTATTTGTTTGACAAGCATGATCTGGATATCTAGGAGGTCAGGGGTGTGTGTGTGTGCAACCCCGTTTCCGAAGCGCTTTGTTTATGGAAGAAACTGCTTATTAGTACAATCAGGCATTTGAGAAAGGAGAGAACCGAACGCCGGCGGTCGAAGGAAGAAGCAGTTGGGGGCACTTTCGATCTGTCGAAACCTTGGCGCGTAAATCACGGGTAGGCACGGAACGTTCCTAAAACATGTACATCATACATGCGGAGGTGGGGTGGGCTCGAAGCATGGATCTGAGGGAGAAAGGATAGCGTGGCTTTGTCTTTGTCGTCGTGCGGTGCGCCGGTACTTGGCGAGAAGTGAAGCGAGGCTTGAGCTAGTAGTCAGCTGTGGCTTGCATCGTGTTTGGCACAGGTGGCGATTGCCGTTGGAGTTACTGCTGTACCCATGTCGGGACAAAATAATATGGGGTGGGTGCGTTGTCTGCATTCCACCCGCGGACGGGGGGATTGATAGGGAACGGTGCTACTACCGGTTGCTGTGATGCCGCCACGCCCCCGTCGCGTGGGTTTGCTTGATCTGTGGATATCGAACACCGACTTGGTGAGTGCATGCCCACCACCTGTGTTGCAGCACAGTTATAGACGTAGCGTTGGTGGCGTGTGGCGATGCCTTGTTTGCTCGCGGCTCCCCTTGCCCCGGCTGGGCACCTACTGCTGTGAAACCATCTTAAGCGAAAAGCTAGATCACTTGTCGTATACTTGTATGTCTCGTAAGTAGGAAGTCTAGTCTTGGTTTTTCCCTTGCATGGAGGTTGATGCGCCGACGTCCGGGGATGTCGGAATGAATTGTTTATTGCTTGGTGTTTTATTTGTGTGTCGTTGTGTATGGCATGTGCATTTTGGCTCTGTTGTGAACATAGATAGAACAGGTTCTTCACAGAAGCTGGGGGGCGGGGGGTAGACCGCCCATTCTCAAGTTTTCAGGTTAACGTGCCAGGCAGTGTGCGTTGATGGCATCTCTTTGATTTTGGTCACACTCCTCGCATGTGTCTTTAGAGCCCCTAGCACTTTGGATCTGTCGTTTCTGTCGTTTTGTCGTAGTCTTGTTGAACGGGTCCAACCGCGGGGGTGCTGAGGGCTCCGCATTTTTTTATTGCAAACCGAACGCATGGTTGTTTCAGCTGCTGTGCATGGGCAGGCGGCAGAGAGGGGAGAGGGGGGACGTTGTGGTATCGCCCCTCAGGTGGCAAATCTGCCGGACGGGATATGTAAATCGTTCTTGTGGTCCTTTGCTTGTCGAGATGCGACAAGTTTTTACATGAGGGAGAGTTGCTCGTCTTCGGCTGCGGTAGATACATCGAACAAGAGAAGTTTCGCCCCGGAGTTGGTTCACAACATTTCATTGATCCGCACAGGGTTGCGGTTTGATCCCCCGCATCAGTCAGACGCGTTCAAAGCTGCAGTGCAGCATTGGGATCTCGTTTCACCGGGGCATGTTTTCCCGTCACGAGATGGCAAAAACGTGGGAAGACAGTTTTGCTCCTAGAGCACAGCAACAGAAGGCAAAGCAAACGGCTGTGAAACGCTTACACTAGGTCAACAGAACAAAATGATGATCGTCTCGCAACAGCGTGGACTAGCAGCGCTGCAGTGCCTGGATTGGATGGAAGATGAAGTATGCCGTGAAACGCGAACACAAAATTCGGATACCTTACAGTAGGAAGGAAACCAAGGGGGAAAGTGAGAGAGAAGTCGCCTGCTTTGAACTGAGGACAGAAGACGTTCATGTAGACACTGCTGCTGAAAGAAGAATGAAACCAAGACAGGTACTGTGCTCGTTTACGGTAACTTTGAAGGCAGTTGTGACGGGCGGGCCGATCGAAAATCAACACGCAACAGCTTTTTGAGGCATCGCTCCAACCTGGTGCTGCGAGCAAGGGCCGACCTAGGGGGGTTCCTCAAGTTTTGCATGCCTTAGCTGTAAAAACCATTGAACACTTTCCTCGAGAGGATGGGGGGGGTGTATCAGAGGTGAAACGCCAACATTCAAAACGATTGTGTCACAAGTCCCATCGAAAACAATCAAAAGCACATGATGACGTGAGTCGTTTGCCCACGTTCACATCAAGCTTGACGCCAAGAACACATCTGCATAATACGTTCTCTCCTTCGCCTGCACGGGAAACTGTGTCCTTGGCATGTCCTTGACCCCCTACATCTCCGCACAGACGCATATATTTCTTGCAGTTCAAAGATGTAGGCAAATCAACAGCAGGCGAACATTTTCGAGCAGCTCGATGATGATTGCGTCAAGCAACACTTGTTCACCGCATCCGCTCTAAGCATTGTCACGGGCCGTCCATCTGTGTCATGTTCTGACAAAATCGTCCGTCTGCCCCGAAACAGCAGTGGCCTCTGGCTTGTTGTCGTGGGGACCACTCAAATACTCCCACCGACTTTCCGGGCATGCCTGCTACATGCAGGAGGGAAACAACATGACACCCGATGCGTCGCTTTCTCTTGCAAAAAAAACGAGAAGATGAAAGAAAAAAGTGGACGGCCGTGTTCCGTGTAGTAACTGCTTGTCCACCACAATACTAGGAGTAAACAATGTACTTTCGAGGAAAAAAGAAAGCGAATGCGAACGGCCGTGTTCCATCTATAACTGCTTGTCTACCACAACACCACGAACAACAATGTACTTGCACGCCAACCATTTCTACAACATCAACATTCGTTGCCGTATGCATACATCAGGTCGAACACTTCGAAACAGCAGCAGCAACAACACATCTCGTCGGTTATTGTCATCAGTTGGCATTCCATCATTACCACCACCACCACCACCACCACCACCACCACCACCATTTTCACCGCACCACTGACGATGGCGTACTAGACACCAAACACTCAAAACAGCCATCCAGAACCAAAACAGGTTCCAAGGCCATCTCTATCCACACCACCAATTTTCTCTGGCCGCCTCGTTCAATCTACGCCGCTGTCTGTGTTCAAGGCACACACCAACACAGTAGTGGTCCTTGTTGTTCCTGGGGTTAAAAGGGAAGCTAACCCCACTGACCACACATAGCCCCAAGGCTCTGTTTCGTCGCCTGCAAGACTGAAGTCGTGTTCCAAAAAAAATTGTTCTGCTAGGGGAGCAACGGCGGTTTCACAAACTTTCTTCTGGTTATTTGTCTACCTTCTTTTCTTCTTTTTCTACCGCAATCACGTTGCTACTGCTGCTGATGCCGCCAGCCGCAGCAGCGGGAGACGAATCACCGACCAGCGGAGGTACCGGCGTAGTGGTAACGGGGGTGATGGTTACAGCAGGAATGGTGGTAGCAGCTACAGCAGCGGGCTCGACTCGACCGTCGCCGTTGAACCCGCCGCTGTGGTTGTTGCTGTTCGCGGCAGCGGCGGCGACCCCCCCGGGGACCATCAGCCCCACTATATACTGCCGAGAGATCGCAGCCACCTTTCGATTTTTTTAATAGCGTTGCGTGCATGGCGCAAAAAAAACGCAGGGGTTATTGGTGAGATGGCGAATGAGTAACAGCAGCTTGACATGCCCTGTGGTGGCGACCGGCCCTCGGGAATGTCCCTCGGCGCTCGCTCTCCCTCTACATGCTGTTGCGTGGATACCGAGAAAGGAGGAATCTTCGCGCTGAATCTTGCCTCGTACCAGCGGCAGCTGGTCTGGTCGATTCAGGTTATAGGGGCGAAACGAGACGGGAGAGACAGAGGGCGTCCTCCCACAAAACATAAAAAAAAAGGGCGACGAATATACATGGGGCGACGGAAGACCACACTCGCCTCCCTCGTTATGGTGGTGACGTAACCCTTGAGGAGTTCCGCCGCCTGGTCTTTCTCTCTCAGTTGGGATTCCACCAGCCGCTTCAGTGTCAACACAGACCGGGATAACGGCGCCATCTGTGCAACGTGCCGAGAGAAGCCAAGAAAGGGAGGGAAATTTGTGAGAGGGGGGGGGGAGGGGTACTCATGTGTTACTTGCGAGACGTAGTGATGCGACCTTTACCACGCATTCCTTGCGATAAGACTTCATTGGCCTCTTTGTCACTGACTGCCCTTTTGTATGCATACAACAGCCAAGCCCACATATCAACCCGAATACCCCGGCAGAAGGAACGGGTACATGGTGAGGGAGACAGCCGCTTGCAACGGGAAACTCCGACAAAACAACAACAACAAGAACAACAAGAACAACAGCGAACGACTGCACTGTTAGCTACAATACAGAACGGGTCCCGAGAAAAGAATCGTGAAAATCGGGTCGGGAGGCTGAGTTTCTTGTTTCATCGCCGCTGCTGTCGAGCACAGTTGTTACAAGGAGTTTTTAGTCGAGGGTCCAGCTGAGCTGTGTTTCCTACCTTGTTTTTCGTGATTTTTTTAAGCCTCTGTTTCTTCACGAAACATTTCTTAACTACGGGTAGATCACCGACACCGCACCTCTTCTCGGACACCCCTGAGGCCGTGGTCCACAAGGGCCAGCGCGTCCTCCCCGTCCTTTGTCCGCGCCGCCAGCTGCCTCAACGCGGCAGCGAGCTTCTCCACGGACGTCTTCGATGCCCAGTTCCCTCCTCCCCCCGCCGCAGCCGTAGCCGCCGCCTTTTGATCCAATGACGCTGCCTTTTCTGCGGCCGCCGTGGCCGCGGCAGCCGCCGTTCGCCTGCTCTCCAACGCCGCGGTAGCCTCCGTCGCCGCCGCCGCCGCCGCCGCCGCCGCCGCCTGGCTCTGCAGCAAGGACAGCGCTCGCTCCGACTCTGCCACACGTTTCTCGAGCCGGCTGCAGCGTTCCTGCGTCTCCGCGCACCCCGCGCAGCGCTGAAGTTTCCCTGCAGCTGCCGCCGTCGCCGTCGCCGCTCCTTTCGCTGCCGTTGGCTTGTCAGCGGCGGTAGAGTCTCCCTGCACCGCCCCTACGACTTCGGGCGCGCTTTCTTCGTGCTTTGCGCCTTCGACATCAACGGAGGGTGCTGGTGCTGGCGGCGCTGCTCTTGCTGCCCCCTGGCCGGGGCCGCTACTAGCGCTGGCGCACACTGCAGCAGTGCTTCTTTGCGCTGCTGATTGAGGGACAAACGCCGGCGCGTCGATACCCAAGCCTCGCTTTCCTCCCTTGCCGCGGGTTCCGACCGTGACCGCTGCTCTTCCTGCCGCCCCGGCAGCCGGCTCCGACACGCGCTCTTGGAGAAACGCCTTGATGGTCTGCGCCCAGTCCGACGCCTTGGGGCCGAAAGAGTTGTCCAGCAGGGCGACCTTCGCCTGGAGCTGCTTGTGCCTGCCCTCGAGGGTCCCCGTGCGCTGAGCGAGCGCGGTGAGGGCAGCGATTGGTTCTGCCGCAGCGTTTCCACCCGCCCCGCCCTTCACGCCCCCACCGCTACCGCTGCTATTACCACGGACCCCTCTAGGGGTATCACGACCGCCATCTCCGCTGCTGCCGCTGCCGCTCCTGCTTGCGGCTGACAGCCGAATCATCTGTTCCTCGAGAGCCGCGAGTCTAGAGCGTAGAGGTGCCACCGTCGCCTCCACTGCCGCCGCCACTCGTCTCTGGTCGTCCTCGTGGCTAGGAACCGCAGCAGCGGCAGGGGGAGGAGGAGGAGGAGGAGGAGGAGGAGGAGGAGGAGGAGGAGCAGGCGAATGGTGTTGCTGCTGGTTGCCCGCCCACAGCGCTTCCCTAACGTCGACCTCGAGCTTGCCCACCACGGACGCGGTGATCACCGCCGCGAGCTCCTCCAGCTTGTACTCGACGATACTGCCGCTAACGCCAGTCTCGCCGCCATTTCTACCGCGGCCCCTTGCATCTGTCACAGCAGTTGGGCGTGCCGGTTGCCGCGGGGGGCTAGTAGCGGGAAGGTGCTGCTGGCGTTGCCTGCTGCTAACATGCATGCCGTCTCCTCTTCCTGCCGAGTGCTGGTGGTGCTGGCTGGGGGGCGGCAGCCAGACCGGCCGCCGGGAGCTCGCGGGCGGCGGCGGTGAGCCCCCGTGTAGGTCGGCGTTTAGGCCGGCTGCAGTAGGGGCTGGACCCTCGGCCTGGCTGGCGTGCACGTGCAGAGAGTGGCCGTACGCCTCCGGCGGCATGCTGCTGTGCGACCAGAGGCTTCCCATGAGCGTCGGCGTCGCCGTGTTCAGGTTGCCGGCACGGCTGCTGCTGCCGCTGAGGGTCGGAGACGACATCAACCCGGCGCCGCCGCTGGTGACGTCGGTGAGGCCTCCGCCCCCGCGACTCTCATGATTGATGCCGCTCCCGCTGCTGCCGCCGTCTCCCCCACCTGACCGCGGCATGCCCCAGAACAAGTCGAAGTCATCCGCGGGGTCGCCGCCATTCAAGCCTTCGTTCATTCTCAACAGCAGTGCAACAGCAGTGCAAGGCACACTTGCAAGTCAAGAAGGAGAAGCAGGTGAGCAGGTGAGTGGAGTGGGTCGGTTCGGAACGGCGAGTGCGAGGTGGTTCGCGCAGGGGGGTATTCTGCATCCACGGGGCCCCTCCTTTGGCGCGCAAGCTCAGCTCCCTCAGCCCCCTGTCTGTGTACACACACACCGCGCAAGCACCGGCCTCGACTCGTCTCCTGCGCTGTTTCCTCTCCTCTTCGTTGCCAGGTGCGTGCAAGCCTCGAACGGCACCAGGTTGCGACAGTTGCACACGGATCTCTGCCGGCTGTCTTCCTTTGCAAAGTCAAAGCTTCTGTTGGAACTTGTCGGAAGGTCTCGCTGGCAACGAAATTTGTGGGTTTGGTGTTGGGTGAACGTGTGGCAGCCCGAAGGAGCTTTGCCCCAACCTAGCACGCCCTTGCAGGCGCAACGACCGTTTGCATGGTTGGGGTTGAACTTTTCAAGGCCCACAACGCCTTCTTTGCAGCGGCGAAAACGCTCGCCGTACGTTATTTCGTGTTCGAATACTTTACTGCACAAAAGAACAGCCGTTCCAAAACAATTTTTTTTTGTTGTATTTTGCCAGCTTGACCCAACCCTCTGCTGCTCTCTACGGCTCCTTGTTTTTTTTTTTTTTCGATGGGGTTGGTGTGCAGGGCACGCTTCTGCAGATGTTCGGCTTGCTCCCTACGTTAGACCTACTAGACCTACAGGATCGCGGTTATGTGTTATTGTGCACGAGCTCTTTCCGTCCGTCCAAATTCGGGATCGATGAGATAAAAGAGGAAGAGCTGTTTGTAAGTGCGCTGTGGCTGGTGTACTGACAGAGGGGGGGTATTGGAACCATGTGTGGAAGTCGCCATGTAGTTTGCTATCATGACACCACTACACCTGCCGAAGGCTGGATGCGCTAGAGAAATTCGCTCACAAATATCTCTTCTTCACTTGATTGTAGAAGCATTTTCTAATTCGTCCAGAATGCGGCGAAGACTAGAGTATGACTACAATTACCCTTTGCTCTCTCAGTCTTGCTCAGATGGAAACAGGGATTATATTGATATTTCCAATACGTGCGTGGCCGCGGCTGATACATACGTCAAGCATGTCACCGAGAGGTGTGTAGACAGGCGCCAGAGTAAAAGGGACGAACACATATTCACATGCATGTAATGGCGTTTCAGGTATCTACTCATTGTCGGTGTCGAGAATATCAATTATACAGACGACCTTTATTGACTCTCGCCGTTCGCCCGCCACAATTTGTACACGTCCTGTCGCTCTTGTTCGGTTCTTTGTGGGGTTTGCGGTCTCGACATCAACAACGGTGGCGCTACGCTATAACAGTTAGTCCACACCGGCTAGCTAGCGAGCGTCCAGCACCAAGGAGACGGGGGAGATCGCGCGTTTTTTCCACGATGCAGTCTCAAGATCCCATGGACAACATCCGGGCTGCGGTGGAGCACGCAGACAAGAACCCCTCCAAGGTCGTCTCCTACTCGTGGTATCTTGTGCTGGTGAGTGCGAGAAGATACCTGCGAGGCTTCGCGTCCCTCTTCTGAGTTGGCGGTGAGAGTTGAAGTGTTGACGTTGGTTGTCCCATTGATCTTGCTCGTGGGATCTTGTGCTACAGCAAGTACGAAAAATAGAGAGAAACCTGCAGAGACCAGCTTTGTTTCCCAGCTTTGCGCTGAGTTGGTGGGAGCGGACACTGTCCCAACGGCCTTTGCGAGCACGATCAACGTTTTTCTTGCCGATACGCTGGGGGAGGGCGTGCGGGTGGGTGGGTATTGCTACGTGGCCGATTATACATACGTTTTAGCTCCGAGGTGCACGAACGTTGCTGTTGGCGTCACGTACTATTTGCAAAGAAGGTTGCATGTTATGCTCGACACCTTCCATGTTGCCGCTGCCGTGTGCTGCCTGCCATGTGCACTCTCATGAACGAGAGCCTGTTTTGCCCTGTTGTTCCATCCTGCTTACCACCTCAAGTTAAGGCGGCTGCTCTCCTCGGAACGCCTTAATACGCGCGTGTGCCCCCCCTTCGCCTTCCTCACGGCCTCCACCATCTCTACCCCGCCCCGCCGCTTGAAACACCAGATTTTCGCAGCCGTTGACGTCCTGGTGGCGCTGATCAACGCTAGCACGAACGACTCCTCCGCGAATGGCTCGCACGCGGCGTCTTTCGCGTCCGTGTGGACGCTGTTCATGGTGCTTGGGGTGTCCGTGGCGGGGACAGTCATCCTCAAGAAGGTGTGTGTTTTGTCGTTTTGTGGTTGTTTACTGCTGTACGATGGTGTGCTTGGGGTAAGGTTATGTGTCTTGCATTGGAATGGTGGTGGGTGTTGATGTTTTTCTTTTCGCTTGAGCGAACATCTGCCGCCCTGAACCGTCTGACCAATGAACAGACGCCGGAAGTGTTGCGCGATATAAAAACTGCGTCCGTGCGCATGCGTGCGTTTGGTTCTGTGGCCCCATCTCGAGAGGTGCCCACGTCTCTTAGCGCTTTTGTTGTGCTCCCGAAAATGCGGTGGTTTTTTTCTTTGTTGGGGGGTCGCTGTGTTGCTGTTGGCGCCGTGTCGAGGGACTATCTACGAAGCATTTGATTCCTTTCGAGACCCGTTGTTTTAATGCGAATGAGCTTGTTTTTCGCGTGGTTGTGTACACCCGTATACCCGCGGCGTCCCCTCCATCGTACTTCCAAAAGCCATTCACACGTACCTCACCTCGACGCTGCTTTTTTTGTAACACTACGTTGCAGTACCACACCCCGTTGGCCGTGGGGACGCTGCTGGGCCTGACGACCATGATGTCTCAGTTCATGTTTGTGCTGTTCGCGGTGTTCCTCGCCCTCGCCGAGTACGCGGACGAGCCCGGCTTGGCAACGGGGGACCGCACGATGGCGGTTTTCTCCTTCTTCCTCTTCCTCCTCTACGTGAGTAATAGCACCGGTGTCGGGTGTTGTGTTCACTGCTGTTGGCGTTGCGGGGAGCAGTGTTGATGTGTCATGAATGAGATTGTTTTTTGGTTTTGGTGGTGATAATGTGGTGGTAGGTATGGTTCGGTTGCTGATGACATCGTTGTATGGCGGTTGTGTTGGGGAGAGCATGCTGCGGGCGGCGGAAGAGGGGTTCAGTTTCCATTTTCACGAGTTTAGTTTGTTCCATCAGTTGCAGACCACGTGAAATTCTTCAAAGCGTACATGCTGCGGTCGCCACTAACGAGCGTACGCGTCACTGGTAAACCTTGCTTGCTCTTTGGCGGAAAATATGAAATAAGTTCCAATCCCCCTCATTTTTTTTTGTTACCCTGCCTACCCCCCTCACTACCCACCACCAAACAGGGCCTCTTTTCGTTCGTTCTGGGCCGTTACCGCACGACGGTGATGAACACCCCTGGAACCGCCTCGAGCAACGATGAGGGCGAGTGGCAGGACGAGCCCGGCACTGACGGCATGGCCCCGGGGACCCCGGTCTAAAGTTGTCCCAAAACAACCGTGCCGCCAACAACGGTAGAGACAACCACAGCACGGGATTAGCACAGGAGGGAGGGAGGGGCGGGGGGGGGGCGACTACGTGACACCGACGGCGTAACCGGGTTGAGGGAGATAGGCCACGGGGGTTAAGGGAGCGGCTGCTGTAGGGCAATGGAGCGGGGGTTGGGGTTGAAGAGGGGACGGATAGCAGCCTGAAAATCGGTCGACAGGGGTGCGAGCATGACGGAGTGGTTGGCCTCCTGGCCGCAGAGCCGGGTCTGTACAGCCTCGTGCTGCTAGCCTGTTGCCGAGTTTTGCACGCAAGCGTTTTTGGGCTTCGTTCCAGCCTTTTTATTCTCTGGGGGCCTGCTTCCCCTCACGTCTTCCGTCGCTCCATTGTATGTCGCTTGCTCATACGGCTCGGATTAGAAGCCGCGAGCTGTAGAGAAGTAGGGACCCCCCCACCCTCAGGTACGGAAGGGGGAGGGCCCCCGCAAGGGTGGTCCGAGACGATCAGGCGGGGAAGAAGTTTTGGCTTGCGAAACCCTCTCTTGTCTGTTCGCCATCTGCCGCCGCGTACGTCCAACGACTGGTTGTTGTGGTTGATACGATCGTTGGCAGAGTTGATTGTATAGCTCTTCTGCCCGTGACCCCAAAGGCCGGGGAGGCTGCCTGTCTGGAACTTGTGCAGGTTCGCATAGAGAGAGGGAGGGAGGCGCAGAGTGTGTCGAACGGTACTGGGGATGAAAACGAGGAGAGTAAGAGGGGATACGATATAGATCTCTCACCACCAAGCAATCTGGAATTAGGCTGCTTGTGTGCGCCCCTCGGGGTTGTCGTTGTGCTTTATTCACTCCTATTTCTGTGTTCATTTTTGTCAAATGTTTTTGAGTTTTTTTCTAGCCGGGAATATATAGGAGCATCTGCAAGACAAGCACGCCGCCTTGTGTGGTTTGTTGCGTAGTCAACGTGGCTTTTTGTCATCAACCCAAGAGATTTGATCTAAAGGCAAAAGAAGCATTCGGCTATCTTTGTGGTCCATTGAAGATTAGTTTGTCCTGATAAGTTTTGGGTCTTTTGGTGTCTATGCATGGTTCGTTCTTGAATCGTCGTGTAGTAAGGGTGGCTTCTGCACCCGCGGCGCAGAAATACACATTGAAAGGCTTGTGCTCGGGAAATCGCGTCCACCTGACAACCCGCTCGGCGTGAACGAGGGTGTGCGGGACAGGACCGAGAAGCCAGTACGCGCGTGTATATGGGGCGAGATTTCCGCGGGCGTTCTTCTTTTTTTTTGTCATGCCGCACCCGGGCAGCAGCAGCGTCCGTCCGTCCGTCGTTCTTGTGCTTTTTTTCTTTTTTTGGCGTTACAAGAAGGGCGGGGTCGAAACCAAATGATTAGATCGAACGTTCTGCTTTAAATACCGCAGCTCTCGCTTACGAGGTTGCGGTTGTGATATGTTTTACTCGGCGCGGACGCCTTCGGGATGTCCTGCTGAGAGGGGCGGGTGGGGGGGTGGGGTTGTTCCCGACTCTGTTGTTGGTCTCGTGGGCCGGCTGGATTGACGCGGCCGGTCCTTACGTTTTTTTTTGCTTTCAAGTCGTTTCGTCGTGTGCAGCTGCCTGCCTGTTTGCACTTTGGGTGTGGCTGGTTTTGGCTACACGCGCTTTGCTCACAACCAATAGGACGCACGGCGTTCAGGTGCGCCAGACACCTACCCGTGTGGTGCATCGATTCTGGGGGCTGTGATACCGACCGTCCTTTCAACATCAAGTTTTGGTTCTACTTTTCTTTTGGATGAGCGTATCTCCAATTGCTGCAACGGATGTTATACTGCTACTGTCGTGAGGGGGGGGGGCGAAAGGGAGGAAGGGGATGGATGGAACACAGCTGCCTCCTCTCTTTCTCGCGTAATTTTGTGATTTTTTTTGTCGAAAACTGAGTTGTTGTGTTCCACGCAGCTCGGTAAAGGTAATAGTGTATGAATCGTTATTTCCAATTTCAACCAATAGCCCAACATCGAACCTGTCAGGATCGTGGGAGTGACTCTCACGGTCACGTGCAGCACCGAAGGGAGGAAAGCGGCATGTTGCGCTTCGACCATTACCCTTCCGAGCAGATCATATATTTTCGCCGCGCCTCAGATTCTCGGCGCGTGGCGCGTGCATCCAGGTAGAAGAGCGAACGGATCGAATGCTCGGTATATTCCCTACACGTGCTCTTGGGGAGAAGACGACTGACTCCTGTTCGTTGCTGCATCACGCGATATATATAGATCGGGCCGAGGATACAACTAACTGTTTTCTTCGTTGTCTTGTTAGCAACACCTCCCGTTGGACGCGATGGGCTCGGGAAAAGGTGCGTGGCTAATATATCAACTACTGTGTATCTCTGCAACAATGCGCGCCTGTTTAGCGGATAAACGAGCACCTCTCCTCTGTTTTCTGTGATCGATCCCGTGGAAAATACCCACGATGTATATTCGTTTATTTTCGTTCCAACACACATCGCTGTCTATTTTTAGCGGACGCAAACATCAAATGAGGGCCTCCCACCTGACTATATGGGGCTCATAGGGGAATTATGGCCCCACGTCTTCTTGCAGCAAGGGTTTAACATTGGTGCCGGCCGGAATGCCGCGCTCATATGGCTGAGACTGCTGCCGGCCGGTAGTAATAGACTACAGAGCGACGAGAGGGGTGGCAGTGGTGGCAGAAAATATAGTAATAACCTCTCTTCTCTTCGTTTTGTGTCGTCAGTCATTTATGTCTCTGGCAATACTCTGTCACCTCTCATATACAGAGCACATATGAACCCTGCATATACGGGCGTAGTATGCAGAAGTACACGCTTCACATCCTTGGACCTAATGCGGAAAAAAGATACTGGTATGCGGGATGAGCCGGTGGATGAACATACATCATGATATCTTGACTCGTACGCATAGACTTCATCTCTTTTTGTTTTGTTTTTTTTATGTGCCCCTCTCAAATATTGCTGTGCTGTAAGAAGGGCCTTACAATTCGATCATTCTTGCAGTGCTAAAGAATCGAGCCGGAGTTCAGGATTCCATGCGTTGACAGCTCTACGGATCTTGCTCTCCCTCCGTATGTCGTCTCCCAGCCGGCCCAGTTAGGTTACCCAATGTCCCCCGCCCCAAGCCCGCCCGGTCAGGGGGGTACACAGATAGCGGTCATGAAGTTGCGGTGCCCCCTCGACATTGGCTCATGCTGCGCTGTTGGGCTGTGCTGTGTGCGGTGTGCCAGTGTCTGGCGTCTGACGCAAGCAGTTGACCATGGCAGGGGGAACTCGGGCACTCAGAGCCCTATCTGTGGTCATGATTGCAGTCGTAGCGAGGGGTTTTCTCACGCCTAGCCACGGCCAACATTTTGTTGCAAGAGCAGCGGCAGGTAATAAACATGACGCCGCTGTTTCGCGCACAGGATGCCGACGATCACCAGTGTCAACCAGGACAGCTCCCGTCGGTAGCATTCGTATGGTAAGTGTGGTTCAGCATCGTGCTTGTTTTACATCCAGTTGGTTGCAGCATCGGCGGAAAACATCAACATGTTCCGTCCGCATGTGGGTTCGGTGTGGTACGTCACCAACCAAGAGGCAGCCAACTCGTGCTCTCTGTGCTACGATTTCCGTTCAAAAACCCCCACCCCTGCTCCTTGCGGTCTGTACTCCCTTGGTGCCTGCCCAGTCCGATTCGGCGGGTATGGACACGATCATCAACGACCTGAAGGAGGCGCCAGATGTCGAGGTTTTGACGCTCAAAGGTGGGAGCTACTCTTTGTGCGGCTAACACCACGGGTGCTATCTACCGTATGGGTGTAGGAACACCGGCTCACAATTTTTTTGAATTGCTTGGAGCACAGGCCGGCAGCTGTGCAATTTCGTGCGCCGAATGCTTTTGCCTTTTGATCAAGAGTAGGGCCGTACTGAGTCGAGGATCGATCACCAGCAGGGATTTTCGGGGTTTCCAGTGAACTTCTACCTACCGTCCACGGCTTCAACTTTTCAGCCCTTGCACCCAAGAGAAGGGCGGGTTGGCTATTGGCTACATCCGCTCGCTCTGATTTAGCTCATGGTTGCAGAGGCTATTTATATAGCAGACTGCACGTGACAGACAAGGGCAGGTTGGCTGCATCCGCTCGCTCTGTTGAGCTCGTCATTGCAGAGGAGGCTCGTAGACTAGTCTAAGCGCCACAGAGAAGGACGGGTTGGCTACATCCGCTCGATTGTGTTCATTCCGTCGTTGCAGAGGCTAGAGTATAGACTACCTGGTGGTCATATCATGACCGTCGTCGTTCGCACTCTCTCTCTCTCTCTGATTGAAGACCTCCTTCCGGGACAACTCGGGTGAGGCCATTTGCGGTGCCTCTTGTTGTGTTTATCGCGAGAAGGTTTCAGCATCTCTTTTCCCTCGAGTGCACTCTGCGACGAAGTGCGATACTTTCTTTGGGTTCGAAACTCGCAAAACGCACAAAACACACAACCTCACCGCGACTCTCAACCTGACCGCCAGAAGGTACTTTTGGAGGTCACCAACTCCTCGTAGACTACTGGACTCTCTTCTGATAGCCGCATCATGCGCGGGACATGGGTATTGCTACAGGATCAGACAGCCGGCGAAGAGGTTATCTTGGGATGAAAAAGAATGGGTGCTGCCTAGGCCGGACATTGAGTAGCACACGAGGCCGAGCAAGCTCGTTGGAGGTGGTTTGAAAACGCCTCTTTCGCTGCACCATATGTGTCTTAAGGCAGAAAATTGCACGATTCGAGCATGGGATGACACCTTTTGTTTTCGTTACAGTAACACAACACGTGCCCCCACATCCCTCCTTCCGTCCGTCGCTTGGCAAACAGTTTCCAAGTGCGTCCAGCAGGTGGCACAGCCGGCTTTCTTCCTCCGACTAGCGGAGCTTGCGGAGACAGCGGAGGACGAACAGCAGCGTGTCAAACTCGAGAACCTCGCCACACAGGTGCGCTCTGCTCCACCGATGGCGTTTGATTCAGAGACCCAGTTGTGTATTGTGCGACAAGAGTGCCTGAGGTTCAATATTTCCCAGCAATAAAGTTTGTGCCTGGGATTTTCATGTTTCCCAGCTATGAAGTGAACGTGTGCCCGAGGTTTCCCAGCGATGAATTGTACGTTACGTTTCTGTTTGTGGCATCACGGTGCCCATCATGGTGCAACACCGCTCTGCGTGGCGTTTGGTCACATTTCCAACAGATGTACACAGCAGCAGTTCCTCGTGGATGTGTGGTTAGGCGGACCGATCTGACCTGCTGTGTGTCTGCACACAAATCTAGGACCTTTTTTTCGTAACCGAAGTGGTGCGAAAGTATTTACGGACCTTCTGGGTTGTTTGCTCTCACTCGCTGTTTTGTCGCTACGCGTCGTCATCGCCACCACCGCTAACCCTCGCGAGTGGAGCAGGTTACCAGCGTGCTCGAGAGGCTGGTGGAGTTCGCGGAGGAAAAAATGGACGATTCTTCGTCCCTTCTACAGATCGTAGTCACCAGGTGCGTTGAGTCTGGGGTCCCGTCTACACGTGTTCATACGTCGCGGGTTTGCTGGGGGTGACCTCGCTATACCGGGCGGTAATACCTCTTGGGTGTGTGCCCTCATGGTACTCCAGTATACCTCAAGGCATTCGATAGGTTCATGTTGCTCGACGATCAACGCAGCGCATGGCCGTGGCGAGGCTCGGGTGGCACCAGCAGCTTGCGCTGCCAAGAAACGTAGTACGTCGATCGCCCCAGCCGGAACTGATTGAATTTCCTGACTGGGTAGACATGTAGGAGTTCACCTGATTTGATGTCCTTGATGCGCGAGTAGGCATACGTAGTAGGTGAGGTGATTTAACTCCCTTGACGTACGAGTAGACGTGTGAACTGATTGAATTTCCTGCGTGTACGAGTCGACGTGTAGGTGTTTGTTTTGTGGTGTCTTTTTCGTGTTTGTGTGTTTTTGTTAGTTGATGTCTTGTTGTGTGTGCGCGTCTTGTTTCCGCAGCGCCGCGGAGAAGAACGGAGAGTTTCTGGTGCCCCTCTCCGAGGAACGCCTGACCGCGCTGCGCCAAAGCATGAAGATTCACCGAGACCAGCTCGACAACAACTTCCTCGTGAGACACGGGAGAAATACCGTATACGACACAAGATAACACACACCCCGGTCCGATTTTCAAAGCTGGATTTATCAACAGCAATAGGAGTGGGGGTGCCGAAAACGGCGGTGTTGAGGCCTTCTGGTCGAGATCTCTCCGAAAACGTATCGTTTCGTTTATACATCCTCTTGGTCGTGGAGTAATCGAGCTTTGAAAATCGGTCCAGGGGATGTGTTATGTAGTAATTTGAGCCTCCTCCTTTTTGTTTGCATGTGTCCTTTCATTGGGATCGACCGAGCTAACCGGCTGACCATTGAGAGGTCGTTTTTCATTTCGCTAACGTCCTCTCTTTCTAGCCAGCGGGCTGAGTCGTGTGTTGTGTGTGTTTCTTTGATTGGGATCCACCGCATGAACGGCTGACCAATGAGAGGTCGTTGGTAAATTCGCGAACACGCTTTCTTGCTGAGCGGACTCCCCCGACAGGGTAGCCGCGGACGAGATTGGATGGCATGGTTCAGTCTCCTGAATGAGAGTTTGTTGTTGTTGCTGTTGGTGTTGTTGTCTTCACACTACTTGCAAAGGGAAAGGAGGCGACACACCATTCCGTAGCGTTCCGTCTGCGGCATCTATTCCTGTATGTGTGTCTGTCTCTCACCACAAGACGTTGTTGTCGCAGGTTTTTATCGTTCCCCCCCCAATCCATATCGCACCGCTTTTACTTGAGAGGTTCAATAATGTTGCTGTTGGGAATGTAGCGGGAGTTGTCTTGTGGGAACCAGCCCTCGGCTCTGCCCGGTGCTGGCGGCTCCATGTTTCTGCCTTCGTACGTCAATTTCGCGCAACCACCGACCACGCGATCACCTCTTGCAATGCACTACCCCAATACAACGTGGCACCTAGGTTCGCATTGCAAATGGGTGTACACCATCTGGAAATACAAGAGAAAATGCAACTTCATGATATCCTGAAGTCCAACATTGATTTAACACCCTAAACATGACCGAAAAACCCTACATGTGTCCCACACCATCCGTTGGAACACCACCACCCTCGCACCAACAAACGCTTGCCATCATCCGCTCGACGTTCCTCCCTTCCTTGCGAAAGGCTACGGTCCAAGCGTGGATGGAGAAGAGCGGCAAGGAGGAGGAGATGCAAGGCATGGTCGTCATCCTTCAGAAGGTATTTACAGCAGCAGCGTTTTGCAGCAGTTCACGGCTGGCGTGACTTTTTCGGTGGACCTTTGAGACGTGCTTGGACATGGGCTCGGTGCTGCATTTTCGCTTCGTATTTTCTGTCTGTTGGCATGTTCTACTCATGCAAGTCAACCCTTTGCCGAACGGTCATAATGCGACCTCGGGTGCAACCATGAGGCAGAAAGAGACCTTACCTTTCAAAGTTGGGGCTAATTGTCTGTAGAGTGCTGTGGTGCATGATCAGCCGCTTCTTCGCTGGGTCGCTCAACGTTGTTGTATGGAGAATGGAGATCACTTCTGTAGTTTTTGTTTTTCTTGGGCGGTTTGTAAAAGGAGACACGGCAGGACGCAAGTTGGGGCTTGTTCCGGGTATGCGTTTTTGAGGGTATGGCGTGTCGTGGATGATACAATTTTCTTCCCATCTGCGCTTAGCGTGTGCTGGAATACGGCAGTATGCTGCCGGTATGCTGTGTAATGTTCGTGCACTCAGGGGGTCACGGAAGGCCGTGTGCAAGGCTTATGGACAACACTCTCTCTGTGTGTCAGACACGAATAACCATGACTGACTTCTCCGGAGGCGAGAAGAATAGAATTTTATGTTGCGCTGACCACGACGAGCTCGAAAGGAGCATTCATTCATCTGTAAGGAGCACCGGGGATATATGCTCTGTGGAGATTCAGGTTACATGTGATACCCCGAAGGCCAAACCTAGCCCTTTCCGCCTGCATATAGCCCTTGCCGCGTCTCGCGATCAAACTTCGTACAACGTCGAAATCGGCGCGCTTCCCAACCACTCTCCAACCCCTCGCCCGTTTCTGCAACATTCCACTACTATGTCCCCGCCCTGAATTGCCGTTTTCACGCAGATCCTCCAGATGTATGCGTCGCAAGAAATTCTCCTGGGCAGCGCCGAACCCAGCGCTACCGGCGAGGCCGGCGAGGCCGACGCCGCCGCGCCCAAGAAGCGCACCCCCGCCCAGCTCCTCTTGGAGGAGATCTTGAACATGGACGCCGACAAGTGGGACGGTGTGCTGGCCGGCCTTTCCGCGGTCGGGCGAGGCATGACCGGGGGCGTTACGAAGGACGGGCTCTTGGGGGCCATCCAGGTGAGAGGTGGATTTGTTTGTAGGGTCGTTGGGCTGAGGCGTCGAGAGGGGTGTGTGTGCTCATCGCCGTGCATGCCGTAGTCGTTATTCCATTGGCCTCGCATCCCTACAAAAGCCGGGGCAGAGCGGTTTGCCAGGTTTTGCACCGGACCAGGCAATAGCACATGACCAAGCGCGAATTGCCGTGAGGTATTCGGCGAGAGTTGCGCTGCATCATGCTAAGAGAGGCGGCGAGGGGGGCGACTGAACGGTGGTTTTGCCGGTCGCGCATGGGGTCAGAAGCGGGTCGTTTTCGCATTAGATTTTGGAGGAAGAGGCAGCGTCGGCCGCTAGCTGAGCGGCCGCCGCTCGACCACAGTGGGCATCGGCCATAACGGACGGTGTGCGGGTTGTATAGCTCGGGCGGCTCCACCACGCGTATCGCATGGTGTTCCGCTGTACTGTCTCTCGCGGAGGAGGGGTGCTTTTGTCGACGACGTTGCATGAGGGCAAACTTGCCACATCATGCTACTGCCCATATGGTCTTCTTTTGTGCTTTTTTTGTGCTATCCGATCGGCCCAACGTGCAGGAGGGCGCACACGCAAACAGGGAGAGCAGGAACTAGTTGGCTTACACATCCGTGTGCGTGCACGTGTTCCACATCCCTTGACCTTTCTTTCCGGCCTCAAAAAGTTCTACGGTGTGTGTTGTGATGATGCGTGCACATACGTTGCTTGGTGCGCATGGATAGTGCGGTGTGTTGTGATGCACACACACGTTGCGCATGGATAGATGGCGACGAAGAAAGCGCTCTTGTCTTTTGTCCGACCGCCTCTGCCGTTGCCAACCGACCCCCGCCCGTGTGCGCGAAACACGACAACAGGTGGCGGTTGAGAGGGTGATCTTGCAGCAGGAGAACGGCAGCATGGCCCAGAGAGTGCAGGCCGAGTTCCTGTCGGAGCTCTGCAAGCGAATAGAGGCCGCCTGCCCCGAGCAGCCGCTGGGGCCGGGGATGCTTGAGTAGCTAGTCAGGCGCGGCGGCCGCCCTGTCACACCTATTCGCTGCTGCTTGCCATCGGACCCCCGTTGTGCACGGCACTCTTCTGGCCCTGGAAACCCGTTATTACGTGGATTGCTGAAAGCTGTAGATAGCTAGTTGCTTTCAGTTGCCGGCTGTCCTTTTCTCTTTTCTCCGGAGCACCCCCGCCCCCCCCGCCCGCCGTCGTTGTTGCTGCTGATGCCGCACGCCACTGCTGCGCAGCGCGTCACCTGGTTTGGGTGCGAGATTCTGTTGTCATGTTCGTCTACAGTAGCCGGGGAGGCGATCGCCGGCTTCGGGTTGCACAGCAAGTAATTTCCCGATAACTTACCAAGCTTGGCCGGGGAAGCCGTCTCGATTCTCTCTCGTACGGGCGAATGATTTGCAACGGTGTGCCGCGTTGCCATGTGGGGTCTTGAGATCATGTAGTCCGATTCTTACAATAGTTTGGCTTTAGGTCCGAGGGGGATGGATGTTTTTTTTTTTTTGGTGGTGGTTATCGCCGAATCCCAATCGTTTGTGTTGCTTGAAACCAGGTATGCTTTCCATTCCTTTCCGTTTCACTAGTCTCCCGTGGCACTGGCTGTCGTAGGGTGTTACAAAGGCTTACCCATTAGACTACTCAGTCAGCAAAAGATATAGTCTACTCTCGGCTCGTAGCCACCCGGCTGGTCACTGAGATTTAGAAGTAGGGATCTCCGGGGACGGACCCCTCGCCAGGCGCTGCCGGAAAAAGAACTAATGGTGCTAGTAAAAGTGACCAGCCGGGATTCGAACCCGTGCGTGTATCCTTTGTTAGAAAGGCTTAGACTAGGGATCAGAAGCGGGGAGGTCCTTCGTAATGTGATCGATGAACAGATGATATCCGTCGAGCACTGTACCGGCACAAGCTGGTTTTCTCGTGCCGGGTCTCCATCAAGAGGAACCATACACTCGCGTTCGTGAAACAGCCAATGAGGAAAATGCGCCCAGCCTACCTACGGGACGGAGTTACAACAGCCCTCGGAGAGAAAAGCAGCCCCTGTTCGTAACATCGAAACCTCTGAGACACAGCAACGTCACCTGTGCGACCATGAGGAATGGTTGGACCTTTAGCTCAACTCTAGTCCAATGACCGAGGAAATTTTGTTCCTTGTCTTCTTGAAGAATAGGCTAGAGGAGAAGGGGCGTTAGAGAGAGGTCACAACGATTTTACAGTGTGAAGCAGCCGCTAACAAGGAACATGATCCGACATGATCACCACTCCGTTGATCGGGTGAGTGAAGGGTAAAAATTCAAATCTCAAACATTTTGCGCGGTCGCTCGTGGCCGAAACAAAACACAAAGACATGTTTAAGTACGAGAACACCGGCCGGAGATACTGCAAAGGAGCGAAGATGCACTTGCTGTCAAGCTCCGAAGCACCAACGACCAACCAGACAACCAGACAACCAGACTTTTTTGGTGGCAGAACCAGAACTGGTTCTCAGAATTTTCCCGAACCGTTCCGCCGCCCCTCAAACGGTACCTTTTTTCTTCCCCCCCCCCCCTGCCACTTCACACCTCATCAAAACCTCTCATCTTCCAGTGTGCCCCCTCTCGTGATAATCTGACGGGCGCGCAAAACGTTCGCCGTTACCCAAGGAGCAGGGGCGCGAGAGGCAAGGAAGCGGAGGTTGAAAGCCCAGCTAGATATCACTAAGAGAGAGAGAGAGAGACGGGGTGTCGAAGCTATTAGAAAGAAGACTCGAGGTAGACGGGAAGAAGACTGCTTGGCGTTTGCCGCCGGCACACAATGTTTGGTGCAGGGGGAGGAGGGGGCTTCGGCACCTCTAACGCGGGCTTCGGGACATGTGAGTTTGGCGGGTGTGACCTGCTGCTGCCGATCAGGCTTGTTGTCTATTCAAGAGGCCGTCGTTCCTCTTGCAACGCTGCGACTGACTCTGTTTTTAATAACGGTCCGTATCTCTTGTAGGTTTGAATCATCGTACAGGGGGGAGTCCGATCAAACCACAACCAGGCGACAGCAGAGTGGTGGGGCGAAGGGGGTGTGAAGTTCACACGCGTAGACGCTGGCGTCATGCCATGCCATGTGCACCCTTGCTGCTCTGTCGGTGTTGTGTAGTGCTGTGCTGCTCTCGCCCTACCAAACATGTTGTTTCCGTTCGTGTTTGTCGGCCTCTACACTACGAATTACATGGGAAAATGAACAACCAAAATTGATCATCTCTGACAGATGATGAGATATCCCGACGTTTAATGCTGTATGGGTGTACCAGATATGTTCAGCAGTAGTTCAAAGCGTCATTGACATGTAACTAAATAGATGCGCCATGTGCTTGCAACCGCCATGGCGGATACCCCGAACCACATATGCTGCTGTTGGTGCTGTCAGTTTATTTTATATTTTCTGTCCCCCATGCACACGGAATGCAAGCATGCAGAGTACACGGGGTGGCAGGACGAAACAACCCTTTTCTGCACATAATATTAATTAGCTTCCACTTGTTTTTTTTCATGTTTTGCGGCACGTTCCGAGCGTCGTCGCTCGCACGGCGTATCTTGACACATGCTGCTGTACAGCACAAGCACACATCTGCACATGTCATCACGGTTTGCAGCATGGAACCAGGCATATGAAAGTCATGTCCTGATGATTGTTGGTTTGTGGGGCACGGAAGCAAGTAGTGGTCTTTTCGTCTTTTTCTTACCTCCGATTTGTCCTGAATTTGGAAGAAGAGTAGACGGCATGCACGCGTCCCCCTCTCTGTTGCTCGGTAGGTGATCTTCGTGTTCACCAAACTACTGTATGTTTATGGCCTATGCCTTGTCTTGGGAGCCCCCTACAAAGGGGTGTAATCACGGCCTGGTTGGCACCGGTCACATCACTTCTCCACACACACCTAACATGTGTAGGTCCGGCCTAGAAAATACAGAGACAAGGGTAGGAACGATGCAAGCGTGATGTCTTGACTGCTGTTGTTTCTTTGGTTCGCTACGTATCCGTCCTGAAGGTCAGTTCCTTCGGTTGCGTTTGGATGTTTGGATGCACCAGGCGAGGTGGACTACGCGGGATGATGTTTTTTTCCCCGCCGCCTTCCCTCGGCGGTGCTTGCCGTGCTTGCTATCGCAAGAAAGTTCGAACCGACTCTTTGCCTCGCCGACCTACATAAAAGTCGTGTATCGTGTTGTTTCTCTTTAATTTTTCGTTTTGTAACCTCTGGCAAGGCCGGGCAAGAAAAAAATTGCCGAGAAGAATACATGCGAAAATCAGGATGGAGCAAGTTGGCGTTGACCCGGCAGGAGACTTGTACCACTCTGTAGGCTTCTATTCCAGCTGGCATGGGTGATTGCTGTGCAAGGACTTACACACAGACGCAGCACCCCAGCATCCAGCAGGGGTCACCCAACCCTTGCTAAACAGGCTTCCATCACATCCCCTCCGAGAATGCTCTTGCGTTAGATTTTTTTCTTTCTACAAATGAAACACAAGATAATTCATGTTGTGTTCCCCACCTTTGCTGCTGAACCGGACGGGGGCGCCGGCAGGTGAAACAGAGGCCCCGACACGACTCGAATGGCCGGATGGTACACCACCAATGATGAAAAGAATATGCATACAGAAGGAAAAATAGAGTATACAACTGGAGCGTGATATGAGGTCCATCTTGCGGCTTTGGGTACCGCGTTCAATCGCGCCCCCCCGTCTACTGACACGACATTTTGATCTCTATCTCTACACCACGGTTTGATCCCTGTGTGTACCACGCATTGATCCTTACAACGCATCCCCTCAACAACTGACCCCCTTTCCACGCGCGCCCGTTACCCTCCGCTACAACCGCTCTCTTGTTCCTCGGTGCGGCTGCTCTCCGCTTCAGCGACCCCGTTCGGCAGCAACACGGCTCAGCAACAGACCCCAGCCTTCGGGGCAGCGTCGACGACGTTCGGCGCCAGCACAACCGGCGCTTTCGGCGCCAAGCCGGTAAGACTACTCCTGTAGCTGTGTAGGATTCCGCGTTTTCATTCTTTTTTTTAGCAGGCTTGTGCTCGGTAGGCAAGTGCCTTGGAGTATTTGTTTTTGTCGATTTGAGTTATTGTACTGAGAATGGAATGGAATCTCAATCGCATGTAAAATTGCCTACCGAGCACGCGCGTTGCTACAGTCCGTTGTTGCCATTCCGCTTCGGGTTGAACCGACGGATCGGAACCCAGTAACATCTGTGTTTCTGTGCCCACGTATTCGACGACATGCGAGGAGACAATGCAACCGCTCACTTGAGCGACGACGCTAGAGGCATCCAAGAGCGCTCCGCTTGAACGCCCCTGCAGGAAGCAAATACTTCGTAGCCCACGGAGCTCCCTTGCCCTGTCAGTATTCTATAACCGCCGAGGCATGCAAAACATGAGAGTACCCCTCCCCGCCCCCCCTCCCTCCTCTCCCACAGACGTTCGGAAGCACCACTACCAGCGGCTTCGGGGCCGGCACGAGCGCCTTCGGTGCGGCAAAGCCCAGCGTGTTCGGCGCCCCCGCCGCGGCCCCGGCCGCCACCCCGGCCTTCGGCGCCGCGGTCCCCGCCACCTACGCGTT